TAAATGCATTTTCCAAATTTGATCAAATTATGTTCATAAACAAGCAAACTACAACAGTTTACTTATTACTCATAAGAATAATATGGGGATTTTTAAGTTACAGTTTTTTGGAATTTTTTTCGTAACCATTAGGTGCATAATAACGCTTCATGATACTAAATACTTTGTTTTTTGAGCTTTACAAAATTGTTTGGGAAAGATTGCTAAATTTTATGTTTTTTGGGTCTAAAATAGTAAAACCAATTTTTACCCCATAAAACCCCCCTACCCAGTTCCCATAGTCCGAGCATGCTGGTTCGCGAACTCGTTCGAATAGATGTAGGTTTACACGTTTATACCAAATTTAATCAAAATCGGATCACTTTTGCTCGAGTTATCGTGCTAACGGACGTGCTAGGGACCTCAAAACGAAAAAGTAAATCGGTCCCGGGTCCAGGTCTTACCATGAGTACTACGGTAATAGTTAATTCCCATATAGGAAATAAGCTTAAGAAATAAAATAATAATAATAAAATAGATTTTTCTAGGAGCTTCAAAAACCTTTGAACCTTCGACCTTTGAGCTAGGATGCCTTTTTGAGCTTAAGTAGTAGAAGCTATGTAAAATTACATTTTATTCTACTATTGCTCTGTTTCCTAATGAAGAATTAATGTTTGTTCTTTAAATTTTGCTGTATAACTACTCCTCATGTTTGTTATATTCCTTTTGAGGCTCTGTCAATGTTATGTATTGTTGTTTTCTTACAAAATTAGTTCTGTGGTGTTTTTTTCATGGTACATCTTCCTACATCTTCATCTTTAAATATTAGTAAAAAACTTTGATCTTTCATATCTATTTTTTTAATTGTGAAATACTTGTTTTCTGTTTATCAGGGTAATTGGTAACCATATGGATGTACTTACGTCTTTGTGTAACAAAATATATAATTTTAATTTAAGTTATGTTAATATATTTCATAAATCAATTCTGTTAAATTGAAAATGATTATTTATTCTAAATAGTCGAATTCAGATTTTGAATGAATATCAATATTTCCTCTTCAAATGTAATTTCTGTTAAAAGTTAGAAGTTTGCGTCTGTAGCTCAGATAGAATAGATAGCTTATTTTTAACTGCCTCATTCTGTGTTCTTGTAGTACACCCCAATATTCGTTTTACTTACCGGTACCATAAATTATCTAAAACGTATATTCAAGTTTTGTTTGTAATGGAACGTTTTACATTCTCATATTGTTCGTTCCAAGTTTTATTGTTCCATTGTTATTTTATTGTTGTTTGGTGTGTTACCATCTTGTATGACGATACTAACTCCAAAACGCACCTGAGCATTCTCCAGATTTAGAGATACATTATTTTAAATCAGAAATTCACAAAAGTCAACTCGCTTTTTCAACGTATGTTTCCAACGGGGAAGTAGTTAATATTCAATAAAGTGGTATTAATGAAGAATTGAGGCTTGCAAATGAGTCTAAATGACAAATTTAACCGCACTAATTAGAAAGTGTGTGAATCTTAAATCGTTAATCGAGAGTTATGAGCTTTCACACCTCATTAATGAAGGTTGGCAAAGAATTAAGGAAGTTATGGTCTACCGAAAAAAGGTACTTTAGAAATTATAATATACACTGTGTAGATGTTATAATGAAAATCCAATAAGGCAAACTGAAATTAATTTAGCCTGCATCTTTTCTGTGGCGGGGGTATTTTTAATTACTCAGATTTGTATCACATTCTTCATACAGTCTTGCCATATAGTACCTAAATCTATGTAGTTTTTAACGCACGTGAAACATTTTATAGCATCTCCATTACCTGTGTACATTTGTAGACGATTCAATTTCTGACTAAGACCAAACTAACTGTGACAAGATCCCCAGACGGATGAATTCCGATAGCCCATTCGACCCTTTATAATAGGTAGGGATGGATTTTTTATATAAGCTTTTTTCTAAAGGGATCAGGTTTTCAATGGGAAGGGTGTTTTAAATTGAGGACGGAGAATGAAACAACACACCTAAAAGATTAGAAGCTTGGACAGGTGAAAGGTAGTATTTAAGTGAAGGGTAAGTAAATTCACTTTACTTTGGTAAAAGTCAATACCAAACAGCAATAACGGAATTTAATTAAAACAGACTGTAAAAAAATGTTGTATGAAGAAATATAAGTCCATTGAAATAATATGATGTAGGAAATATGACCATAATGTTACTTAAATGCTTCATTTTGGTTAGTGTTTTCATCTAAAAAAATAGCGATCTTACTTGATTCGAGACTTATAAAAAATCTTACAGAACCGCTTAAAAAATCTTACGTCTGTTTGAGGAAGTACACCCCTAATGTTATTAGACAAATAATCTAGTTCTAGCCCATTGTTCCTAATGTACTGTAAATCTAAAGTGAAAATGTACTTTTGCTGTTTTTACAATACATAGTCAATTCTTTTTCGAAAGTGTTTCCATATCAATCTTGATGAGTATTGTTGAGTCGGTAGCGTCCCGGACTTCAAGCCCAAGACATAATGTTGTGGGTACGGATCCTGATCATTGCCACTAATAAGTACAGTTTACCCTTTACTGTACTGACTTTCGTCTTGCTTTGCTTGATTCGTTCCACGCACAGGTCCTTAACACTTACTTAGAACTACTTTGTTCTTTTGGGCTTAGTTGTAGTTTGTAATTTTTTTCACGTTTAACTATACAGTATATGGTATATGCGTAGCTTCAACGCTGACAACTTTTCGGACAAAGCTGACTAAAGATAATGTTTAAAATAGGTTTGATAATAGTGGCTGACTTGTTTTGATCCCAAAAAGGTTGGATCACCATTTGAGTTTTTGAACATCTCGATTAGTAGGTTATTTTCCCCTAAATGGAATAACTTAGTAAAACAATCAGAATAACAAATATTTTGTACAAAACAAAATACCGGTAATCTATATTAGGCCTATTAAAAGAATTTGTTGGATTTTGTGTGCAGCAAATCGACCCCTAAATATTTATTTTTATAGGCATATTGGGTATCAATTTAAAGCTCTTACCCTCAAGAAGTGCCTTTTGTGGGTTCAGATAATATCTCGTGAATGTCCTTCGTCCAACACGCTCTTACAATTTCAGAGTTTGTGCTGAATTCTGTTGTCAATCATCTGAACTTCTTCAAGTTTACATTTTTTACATCAAAATAGATGGCCACAATACAATTTTTGTTTCGGTGAGTTCACGTAAAATATTGTAATGCTATTTGTATAAAATGTAACGAAGAGAATGACTTACATTGGATTTTGTGTTTTCATTATATGTTTTATTGATGTTTTAGGGAATATATCAAATATATCACGGATTTTGAAGTCACGAAGTGACACATGCTGCTAGCGCGACTAAAATCATATTTGATGGGATTTGAATAAATTTTCTTCTATAAGGAAAGCATCCTATCTCTTATGTTATAAGATGATAAGTAGACCCATTCTATTGGTATAATACCATAAATATTGATGTTTACTCAACGCTATGTCAAATGGGCCAATAGGAACAAACACTATAGTCATTCTTTACTATGGTAACGTTTTTATCATTAATTTATAAAATAATTAGTATTTTGTAACATAACTAATGTTTCTTTATTTTTCACAACCATGGCTTTATTAGTTATCTATAAATAGTCAAATAAGTATTTTTATTGTGGAAAACACATTTTATTCTTTTAAGTTTTTAAACTTTCAAAATCACTCTAATTCTTCTGATCTTATCTGATCTGCATATAATTCAAAATATATGCTAAGATGAGGTAGTGCCCTCCTTTCATTTCAAACATGCTATTAAACTTACCTGTAGCCGACCAAAACTGTGGCATATTAACATACAATTTTTTTTAGTTCAATGTATTTTTAGTTTTTTTAGTTCAAGGTTTTTTTTTTATTTTCAATTAAGAACTTTGTTAAGGGTTTAAAAGCCTTGGTGCCTAGTAAGTGGACTTTTTCATTTTAATTAACTAAACAAGGTTGTCAATTAAACTTCCTCACAGATAATTAAGGCAGGGAACTAAAATATATTAAAATACTTAATTAGCTCACCTTTCCTGTTAACACTATCCTTTTAATATTGCCGAATTTAAAGAGAAAGTTATTGAAAACTACATGAAAAAGATAAGTGTAAAGATGACTATAATGACAGCAGGAGAGGTCAACAGGTATGATCTCTTTGTTTGATCTCTTGTTTTCCATTATTTGTTGTACTTGTTTTGTACCATTACATATGCTAGTGGTCCACTCAGATTGAATGTCTACATCAGGACCCAAAGTAAATCTTAACACCCCGAGCAATTCTAGTTATCGTTGTATTGTGACTACTGTATAGACTAGTTGTAGTGGTAGCGTACCCTCTTTTAGGGAGAACTACTTTCTTTTCTAAGAGTTTTTCACATGACCACACTAATTGGTTAGTCTGCAATAAAATAATTATTGTATCAGTATTTGGCTTTCTTTTACACAAGTAATAGTTGACCAATTTACTTAAAACATGAGTTATACAACCAGAACATAGTTTATTGCAATACTGATTGAAGTATTTATTTAATGGAAACCTTTTATTTCGTCCATTTTTATTAATTTCATGGTGATGTAATTGCAAAAGAAATAAATTAAAAATTCTTGTGTTCCAGCACCATATACCACAATGAGAAGAATTCAGCATCTATATGTATATCATGAGTCTTTGAAAAAGCTTATTTTATTTTCAATATAAATACCCCAAGTTTGTAAGTTCAGCAGGCAGTTGTCTGGAGAGGTTGTACATTATTTTATCATCGCGAATGAACAGCTCATGAAAAACTAGTCTAGAAACTGTAGTAACCTCTAATTAAGGGTAATACTGATGTTTAGTTGCAGATTGACAATTTTTTCCACATGTTGTGTAGATGGTAATGGTAGATATGCGAAGAGTGGGTCGATGGGCGGGGATGGGAGGCGGAGATGGAGGTCAATAGAACAGGCCGAGCACACACAACTACAGTCACTAATTTGTTTAATCGGCTTTACAAGATTAACAAAACATTCACTTAGCCTAAACATTAACATAATTCGTTACGAGCAACGAGAAAGATGGATGAAATGGTATGATACATTAGTGCGAAAGGAAGAGGAGTGAATAATAAATTAACGAGAGAGGGACGAAAAAGAGGGGCGATGACGAAGAGGGTGAAAAATAAATATGAGCTGATCATAGACCATACAAGGGCCCGAGGCCTAACAACTAACTCGGTTCACTAGTCACTGAACACTGTGTTTATCTTTGGGATCATTTCGACTGTGTAGCGCGGCACTGTAGAGCGCGGTGCGCGGCACTCAGCAGCAACGCGGACAGACCGCCTCGGACGAGGATCCGCGTCGAGGAGGTCTGTCCGCGGCCGGAGGATATGGCAACGGATCAGTCTGGCGACACTAGCTGGACATCTTGACGAACTCGGCGTTGTCGTATCCGCCGTGCACGAACGTCGTCGTCACTCCCTTACGGTCGATCTGTCTGACTCTGACGAAGAGGAAGGCCGCCACCAGGCACGCCACTACCAGCACCACCAGCAACATCACCAGCCCCACCACGAAGCTGGGAATGCTCATACAAACGCTGTCGTCCAGGCCGCTGGTCGACGACACGACCACGGTCTCGTTGTTGGCGGCTCCGGCGTTCAACGCGAAGTTGACATCTCCGGGAGACACCACCTGGATAGTTCTACTCGTGTTGACGTCCGTCATCTCTTGAGCCTCTCTCTTGTAGATCCTGGTGACCACCACCGTGTGGACGGTGTCTGTGGCTCGTCGTCTCCTGGCTCCCTGGAGGTCGGACAGGTTCTCGACACTCCTCGGTCGTCCCCCGAGAGTGGCGAGGTTGCCCTCCAGCTCGTCACTGACTCCTCCTTTCCTCTTGACCGTGGTGTACTGGGCGAACTGTCCGGGCAGAGGTGGAGGGGGAAGGTTGATGTCGTTGTCGTTGTTGAGGTTGACGTTGCTAGGGGAGGTCTTCTGTGGAGAGGGTGACGAGGGGTTGGTCAGACCGGCAGGGTTGTTGGGGTTGCTAGGATTGCTGGTAGAAGAAGGTGGAGGCAGCACTTCGGGTTTGTTCTCGGAGTAAGCGCCAGCTGGGCCTGAAGGATGCCTGGGGTCGGGGTATGCCGCTGGGGCACCGTACTCGGGCAGTGGTGGAGGTCCGTATTCAGAGTGGATTGAGTTTCCAGATGGAGGAGGAGGTCCGTACTCGCCACCTAACCCTCCTAGAGCGGGGAGACCGTAGTCGTTACCACAACGAGGCTCGGGGCAGTTATACCTACAAACTTGGATGACACACTGGAAGTGCACGTTCATGGAGTCTGGGAACTTGAAGGCTTGGAAGTACGCGAAGCTCACTACTGATGCTGAAGGTCCAAAGTTCTTGATTTTCTGGAACTTGCTCATAATCTTCGGCCTGACGACACATCCGTGCTGATCGACCAGTTGGATGGGCGCTCTCTTGCCGTCGTGGGCCACACAGTTCCTCACCAGCATGTCGAACTTGTTTTCGTCGTCCTTGATAGCCAGCACCATGGTCATGGTCTGTCCGATCTTCACGATTCCGGACACTTCTGATGCCCAGGGTCCCTTGCCCACCTGTATCTGCATCCAGCACTGCAGGTTGTCTCCGAGGAAGTTGGCGGTGACGGCGTGGAGCATGTCGACCTGAAAGGGCCGAAAGGTGACTGCCTTCTCGTAGAAGTCGTACCAAGTACACCTCAGCTTTCTAGCCTGATCCCAGACCTCCTGGACGTAGGGGTCGTACTGGATGATGATGGTGTTCTCCACGTAGCTGCCGCTGGGTGTGGAGTAGCCACCCCCGGTGTTGTGGTTGGCAGATGAAGACATTCCACAGGAGTTGAGGAAGATCTCGAAGGTGGCGCTCAGGTGACCGCTACCGGGCTTTAGATGGATGCAGTGAGGATCACTGTAAAAACCTGCAAAATCACATTCATTACTGATTTGAACATATTTACATACACAATACATTCTAGGAATATGTGTTTAGAAGAGAATTTGCTAAATAGTTTTCTACGTCGTTGTTAATAGTACGCTATTCTAGTCCTGATTCCATGAAACCTGTTACCAATGTCTTTTTTGTTCGAATCGAAATAACGTTGATTAGTTTTATGTCACTACTCAATAGTGCGCGAATCAAACAAACTATATTTTCAAGAACTAAACTATCTCATAATGTAAGAAAATAAATATAATACTAATACAATTGTATCCTACAATATGATGTTACTCAGAAAGCCTCATGACCTGAAATTTTAATTTTTTCGGAATAATTTCAACTAGTGTACATGTTGCTCGAATTCGAGCAATTGCAAAGTATTACAGGAGTTATTTCAAAACGAATAACAGTTATATTTACAATGAGTTTAAAAGTCAACTCAAAGATTAAGTGCGTAAAGGTCGATTCACACATATCAGTTCAGTCACAGTTCCGGTACAGTCCAGTTACAGTTCAGTCTCAGTTGCATCCGCAATTTCTCAGTCAACTATCCGTCAGTTGGTTTCAGTCAGTCTTCCGTCTTTAATATTTACATTAATTTACAGTCTAAAATTTTAAATTATAAACCTATATTCTATCAAATTTTCATCGTCCATCTTGTTAATTGTTACGAACAGTACTCAGAATATAAACACAATCATTTAAATAACAAAAGCACTATTTTCTAACCTCAAAATGGTCCGTCAGGCATCCGAACAATCCTAAAATATCGGTGGAAAGAAATCTGAAACTGACTGACGGACGCCAGCAGAGCGACTGACGGAACTGCAACGGATAAGTGTAGATAGCGCAATAGAAAATCCATTAAAGAATATCTTTGTTAACTGTGACGTGCCTGAAGAGACTGTACTGTGACGTGACTGGACTGATGTGTGAATCGACCTTAAGTCAGACCATGTTTATCTTCGTTATTGATAAACCTAAAGCATCCGGCCGGTTTTCTCCTTCTCAAAATGCCTCGCTGTACAGGCAACATAGGTGGCAACATAGAGGGCCAATTGAGAACAAAAAAACGTTTTGGGGTAGTGTTAGGGCGCATTTGTGACCTAATAGTTCAGATTGTCCAGCCTTACGCGCCACTGTTCTGTAGCTGCGGTCATTATCACGATTACGCCTCCTGCCTATGTTTCGTTGTCGTCGTGTCGGAGGAATTTAAAAGAAAAACACTACAAATAAACAAATTATAGCTAGTCAAAACAACGATAAATGCACAAATTTTAGTTACAATCATGCTAACACGATCCGTCATAGCGACACAAAACAACGATTAATACACAAATTTAACATACAACCATACTAACACTTGGGGGTTATGTTTACACAAACTCAAATAGTAAATAAATAACTATACAGCTGATCAAAATGTAAACAAATATGTTCTTCATAAGGATAACATGGGAACTTTAACAGCCACTGGAGCAGAGCCCAAAGGACTTTTTCAAAAATGTAAGGCCAGTTTGCAAATCTACGCGACACCCTCTTTCCAATGAGACGTCAATGAATAAAATCGGTTAAGAAATGGCGGAGGAGTTCAACCGACAAAGTTTCATGTCGCGTATTAATTATATAGATAATTATTGAGGCATTTCTAAAAGAATCTATGAACAAATTATTTTGCTACTATTGAGTTTCATATGATTTTAATTTATACTGATAAGATTGAACAATGGTGATCTATCAGATCTATAAAAAACTCACCCTTAGAAAATATCATTCCGTAGAAGGGTCGGTCGAACTCGATGTTGACGCGCATGTGCGTCTTCTCGCACTGTACTTGCAGGTGCTTGATCTGTGGCATGTCAGGAGTGGCGAGGGGCCAGGGGTCGTCACCACCCCCGGAGACTGGGGGCGGGGGCCCGTACTGGGGGGCTGGGGGCCCCGGCAACGGGGGCCCGTACACGGCGCGGTGCTCTAACGGCAAGGCTGACGAGTCCAACAGCGGGGCGTCGCTCGTCGCTCCCTGTCAACAGATAAGATAGGGTGAATATCTCGGTTGGTGTTGCCTCATACAACACACAAATATCATAAGAAACAATATATAACCACAGGTCTGAGTAGATCATCTCAGACAAGAAATTTGTAAAGACATATTAGTGCAGATTGTATAATTACTGGAATACCAATTACTAAAAGAGAAGGGTATTTTTTACGGGGTTGTTGTAATAGGATATGTGGAAGATAGGAACAAGATCAAGGAGAAATAAGGTGCATGACATAATAAACGTCTTGTTTATAACATCTGTGAGAAAAAGGTGGAATTTCAGAAGCAAAAAAGAGTTTTATTGGAAGGTGGAACATAAAATAACTTGAGGACTCTTGGCTTGAATACTAGTAAAAATGGGAACATGTTTTATAGGATAACGTAATGAATAGTTTCATGAAGGTTAAACTGAAATAAAAAGAGTACAAATTGGCATGTTACGACATTTCTGTTTGATGTAGAGGTTATAGGGAGTGCGCTATTAAGGTGGGGAAAACGAAGAAAAGGTACGAGAAATAAAATTAGAACACCTTGGTCGGGTTGCTTAATAAAAGTGTAAAGCATTTCTGATGGGATAAGAGGTAAAAACGAGTTTTATCAAGATTCGCCTTTGGCTCGCTGGAAGGTGTCAAAGGATAAGTGCCTCGGGGAACAGGATGTTTTCCAGGAATGTTTTCTTCGTTAAAAACGAATGTTAACTTGGCAGTTGCAAAGTATTTCATGAAGGAGTTGTTTATTTATCAGGGAATTAACAGGTCTTGACATGTTAGAGTCCTGATGTGAATTTGATGCTCTAATGCTTAAATCCTCTAAGGCATTAACCGTAAAACTATTTTTAGTTCAACTAATATAGCAATAATACAATGCCAGTGGTTAGGGGGAGGTTACGATATTTCAGATAGTCTTAGGCCGTTGATAGACGGTTGCATATTTTTGGTTCGCAACATCAATCGACCAATTCATTTGCTCTGGCAAAAACGAATTACATTAGTCAAAACATATAAAACTATCGTGTACATATCTTGAAGGACGTCGACACTAGATGGGTTCTATTACTTTCATTTTGTAGTAAAACACGACCAAATCAAGTTATACCCTTACAGTCGATTTTTCGGTTGAGAGATTTTCCCAATGTCACTTCAATGAAGCGAATAACTTACTAGATGGGCCATGAACCACAGAGCCAGTGAACCATGGCTGTGATCGACTACTTGGATGACTTCACATTTAACTTATTAATTATATTGTTGGTCGATTACTTAATGGTTTTCTAGATTTTGCGTTTTCTGGAGAAAATATCACGGTAAATTACCTGTTTGTCCTCTCATAAATATTTTTTTAATTCTGTTTCAACATCAAAGATATTTTACTACTCAGAGAAAGGCTCTCTTACATTCCTACTAAATTACATGACTGTTAGTACAATAATAAGACTTATCAAATGTCTGACAATAGCTCTGTAGATACTACACCGAAATTACACCTAAAATTGGCAGAGCAGAGAAACATACGATCTACTTTTAGAATATTTCCCCAAACTTCTCTGTTGTCTGGCATTGGAGTGTTTAGTGTTGATTTGCGAGTATTATATGAAACATTTGTCCAGATTGCCCCGCTACAGTCGCTGCGATTCTTGTTCTTCTACACTCGGCAGTCGTAGACAGTAGGTCAGCAGTGATGGTAGCGGATATGGCCTGAACTGTGAGCCGCTACCGCCGACTTGTAAACTAAAGTCTCTGGCAGAATACTAACTACAAACACTATCCATCACCACTGTTGAGTTAAATCTACCGTTTCGATGTTTCCAGCATAGTTCTTAAAGACATAATGCATTACATACTCTTCAACATTGTTGGCTGCGGATTAAATATTTGCATAGGAATGAGATTTAACCAAACACCAAATTTCCCAAACAGTTTCATTTGTTTGCAGTCTGAGCTGTAAGGTTAATTGTATCATCTTGTATTAGATAACAACTAGATGACTTTTAAGACGTTTAAGCAGAATGATAAACCTTTCCTTTAGTTCGTTCTTTAAGAAGGCATGTTGTTGGTATATCTCGGTTAGTGGATATAAGTTTGACTGACTAATCTTACACTCCTGGATTATTTCCGTATAACGCCCCGATAACCAAAGTACTACGTTCACTTAGGTGGCACAGTAATTGAAAAAAGTTAATAACTGTTTTACTCTTATGTAAACACATTTCTGAAATATTACCTTTAACTGGTACATGTTTATTCCATCTGGTTAGTCTTGCTGGTTCAACCGAGTACTTGTATGAAGACGCACTTTTCCGAAACGTAGTGTCAAACTTTAATGCTCAATAATATGTATTTCATATGCTTGGTCCATTTTGATAGTAAAGAGCTTCAACAGAGTGGTCTCACAACATAGTAAAATATTGCTTGAAATATTTATGGTACATTGCGATAATCCGTAGTAAGTCTACTAATGTGATGTTTTGTCCGTTTCGGTTGTTCAGTAATTCGATAGAGTAATCGCACGACAATCGACATTATGTTACTTTATTTTGCAATAACTTGCTATGAGTACTTACTCTGAGGCCTTAGATGATACGATACGTTCTATTTATCCTTATTGGAGTTCGAAAAAAATTGTATCGTCCAAAAAAGAAAACTCCCTAAACGTTACGATATACAGCCCCAATAGATTCACAAACAGTTTGTTTGCTCGGACTGTGTCGTGATCCACTTATATAGATAATTACACCCACTTCCCACCCTGGTACACACACGCGACAATGGTGGTCCACTTCCCAGGTCCTCCTCAGTCAAGCCGCCTAATAATCGCTCACACATGCGCCGCTTCCGACACTTCACTCATGATTTACTCAACACCTCCGTCTAGAAGATGGGAGAGAAGAATAGCAATACATAGACAAAATCAATCTTACTCTATGTAATGTTGTATCTTAAAACGTTTTGAAGCAAACTTTTTTTGCTGTGATTTGACGTGATGTGGATTTTCACAGTAGGTGATGAACCCGTGGGTTGTTTAAGCATTAGTCGTCTTTAGCGCTAGATCAGGAGCTTTAACAAGTGCCACGTATTTTAAATATGAAGTGTAATACGAATTCAGCGACCTATCACATGTGCTGGTGAAGGTAGAGGTTGTTTGGTTATGGGAATCAAAGGGCGATTAGCGAGGGATTCTGATGGTTGGTGTAGGGAGTGGTTGATCTGTTGTGGTTGTATGGGTTGTTGTACCTCATTCAGTGGTTGAGGTTGATTTGGTAGATTAGGGAGATTAGTGATTTTGAGGCTTGTGTGATTGGTGAAGTAGGGTTGGAAAAACTGCTGGAGCGCGTGAGAGTTGCGGCGGGCTCGGTCGAGGGGTCTAGGGAAGTTAGATTGGGGGTCAATGAAGTCTCTAAAGGGATGGGCGTCGTAGGTATCTCTTTATGATAAAGAGTATATTAACGTGGTTAAGTAAGTAATGACACGGTAAGCTAGTGGGTTTCCAAAGTTTAGGTTAGTAAAATAGCATAAACTACGTTATGTAGGTTTAATGCCATGGTAAGATAGTGTTCACGAAGAATATTATACTTTGATACTATATTACCAGCCAATATATTCATAGGAAGCTTTGAAACCTTACACAATTCACAAGTTTATAAAACAATCCGTAAAGAATTTCAGCTTCCTAACGTATGTACAAACTGGTGGCATATTGGACATTGATTTGCTTCCTATAAAATTACTTTCACGAGTTGTCACTTTATCTTCCACAATTTAAAAGTAATTCCTCGAATTCCAGTTTCAGTAAAACTGCTCTAGCTCTAAAGAGGGTTATGTTTTTATGGTTTAAGCAATACTAGTGTACACGTTGCTCGAATTCGAGCAATTGCAAAGTATTACAGAAGTTGTTTCAAAACGAATATCAGTTATATTTACAATGAGTTTAAAAGAGTCAACTCAAAGATTACCGGTGAGTAACTCATGGAAATACTCTAGATAATTTACAAATTGTCTGTTTACAATTAACATAATGTTCTTCTTCTCACTTTTAATTTCTGACAACAGCTGGAGTTTCATAACAACTTTTGTTTCCCATGTTAATCTAATGGAGAAATACGAAACTTTAAAGGGCCTCAGGGCCTCACTCTCTAATTATTTCCCTAAAAAGAATGTTTCCTGCACAACTTCACGTTACGCTCTTTCCAATGACACCAAAAACATGTCAATCGGTTCAGTAGTTTCGGAGGAGTAATTGTCACAAAAAAACCTGCTTGCGTATTAAATAAGTATATAGATAGATTCTTCAATCAAACAGCTGTTCAACAATAAGTGTCAAACGTAAACGCAGTAAACAAGGTAATAACGTACAGTTTGATTTTTTTTAGCTATAAGCGGCTTAAGTGTGGTGGAATATCTTTGAAGATGAACCTTTTTGGCTGTAGTGCGGTCATGTGTTCTGGTTCATACGTGACAAATTTTGAGGTTAATTAAAAACAAAACAAACTGGCGTACATTCTTAGAATTTACAATTGGTTAAATAATGTACTTTAGACATACTCTAGGCTACTTTAAAAAAATCACTTGGCCATTAGAGAATATTTACTGTGAAATAAAGACGTAGGCTTAATAATTCCTAATAATTCTTAATCAACTAATGAAAAAGTTGTTGTTAAATTGTTGTCCCCAAATTTTAAGTGATGGTTGCTTTGAAAAGAATTAGTTAACATGAGTAAATATTAAGTATTGAATCTTCATGCAAAATTAATATAGATCATTATATTAAGAGAATAATGTAGTTACTGTGACTGGCATACACATGATAAACTGTTGAGACATAATGAAGAATGGCGTATCGTTTGGAAATCTCCATATAAATACAGTAAAGACCACCTTTTCAGGGTTTCAATAAGTTAGGGGCCAGAATTAAATACTCTCTAGTTGACAAGTTACACAATATGTTAGTTAATGTATAATGTGGAGCTTAAACTAGACTAACGT